GAGGAATGGGATTGGAAGCAGTGTGAACCAGGAGAAGATTTATCCCTTAAAGGGATCTTATGGAAGATGTTCTTCTCGTGGTCATGCCTTGAACTTCAGTTCTCACTGGAGCACTTAGAGTACTGTAATTTCAGATGCAGGGCCAACCAAGATGTCTTCCCAACTCCTCTCTGCTCTGATATTTATGTCAAAGGCAGTTGTAGGAAAAGTCCCTGGAGATTCATTAAGAAGACAATGCAAAAATAATAAATAAATCAATAAAAACTTATGATAAAAATAAAAAAACTTATTAAATAAATAAATAAAATAAAAACTTATAGAACCATTAAAAAATAAAACAAAAACTTATAAAAAATGAAATAAAAACAAAAAATTAAATAATAAAAATTAAAGATTTATAAAAACATTAAAAATAAATAAAATAAAAACTTATAAAACCATTAAAAATAAAACAAAAACCTATAAAAAATAAAATTAAAACTTATTATAAAAAACAAAAACTTATAAAACCATAAAAAAATAAAACAAAACTTATAAAAAATAAAATTAAAACTTATTATAAAAAACAAAAACTTATAAAACCATTAAAAATAAATAAAATAAAAACTTATTTTTAAAAATAAAAACATTAAAAAATATAAACTTATGAAAATAAATAAAATAAAAACTTATAAAATAAAATAAAAAATATAAAAGAAACAAAAACTTATATATATAAAAAGAAGACAATGCAAATTACCATATTGAACATTTTAACTCAAGAAAGAGTGCAGAAAAGAGCAGCCAGGATGATTAGGGGACTGGAGACTAAAACATATGAAGAACAGTTACAGGAACTGGGCTTGGCTAGTCTAGTAAAGAGAAGGACCAGGGAAGACATGATAGCAGTCTTCCAATATTTGAGGGGTTGCCACAGAGAGGAGGGGGTCCAGCTATTTTCTAAAGTGCCTGTAGGCCAGACAAGGAATAATGGATGGAAATGACCAAGGAGAGAAGCAACTTAGAACTAAGGAGAAATTTCCTAACAGTTAGAACATTTAATCTATGGAGCAACTTGCCTCCAGAAGTTGTGAATGCTCCAACACTGAAAGTTTTCAAAAAGATGTTGGATAACCATTTGTCTGAAGTGGTGTAGGGTTTCCTGCCTAGGCAGGGGGTTAGACTAGAAGACCTCCAAGGTCCCTTCCAACTCTGTTATTCTATTCTATTCTAACTGTGTGACACCCCATATTTGCTCTGGGAAGTGAAGAAAACATGTTTTTAAAAGGTGCTGGCAGCTGCTCGCTTATTATTTCTGAAGGGAGAGATTTTAGCTAGCTTTTCACCACAGAGAAGGAGTCTGTTGAAGCGGAGGAAAGTAGCTTTTCAGGAAACCTGACCGCGTAGATCTAAAGGGCTTGGATAAGAACAGATAAATATTTATTTTATTATATTTATGAACTTTTTAGAACATCCAGTAGCTGAAGCTCTCTGGGCAGTTTACAATTAAAACACAATTTTAAAAGTTAAGTAAAAGCACGTATTAAGAAAATCAGTTTGGTGTAGTGGTGATCAGGCTGACTCCTTGCTGGTCCCTTCATTTGACCTAAACTGATTTAAGTTTATTTGATGTGGCTTTTTTTTCTCTTTGCATTGTTATATACTTACATAATATTTTTATTATGTAAGGGATACATTATGTATTGTGGTGACAGAAACATACAATTGTTGTTAGTTGTGAAGCCATGTCCGACCCTATGGACAATTTCCCTCTAGGCCTTCCTTTCCTCTACCATCCTCCAGAGTCCATTTAAGCTCATTCCGATTGCTTCAGTGACTCCATCCAGCCACCACATTCTCTGCTGTCCCCTTCCTTTTCTTTTCCCCTCAATCTTTCCCAGCATTAGGCTCTTCTCCAGTGAGTCCTTCCTTCTCATCAGGTGGCCAAAGTATTTGAAAACATAAAACAGAAAGCTCAAAAAGAAAGAGAAAATCTTGTGAAATAGTGCAGTTTAAAAGCTGAAAGAGATTCTGGAATAAACCCATGAAAATTATCCTCAGAATGGTAGTATTTTTAGGAGCTACCCATAATGGAATTGTCAAAATAGCCGACAAAACTAAAATTGTTTGATCACATAGCATTTATTTTACAAAAGCAGCTTTGTTTCTAATCATATATACATATTACAATGGATATAAAGCTTGATTTGACTCTGCATTGCTAGCTTTTGGTGAATATACTTCAGAAGAGACAATAGTACTACTAATAATATGACAATAGCCATAAAAAAGTAAAACTATCCTAAACAGATAGAAAATACCTCCCAATAAAGTAGAGATTGTGCCTCTAATATTAAAGAATTTTCTAGAACAGCATTTGCCAGTCTTGCCAAAAGTATAGACTTCCGAAAATTCCCATCTGACATCATCATTGTTACAATCTGCAGAAATTGAAGTCCACATAACTTTAAAGTCTGACACAAATATTTTAGAGATAGGAGAGGATGTATGTAAACTTATGATGTGGAGAGGAAAAAATGCATAAAAAATGATATGGTTTATGTTTTCACTATTAGCTGTTCCTTCACATTCAGATCTGGTCTGATTAAAACAATGTAGCACTTGGGCATGAAGATGCAGCCCAGCAGGCCAGCACTGGAGGCCAAGATGGAGAAGATCTGCACAGCCACCATGTATTTCCCTTTGGTGCTCAGGTAGGTGGGTACAAAGGACACCCAGACACTGCAGAAGACCAGCATGCTGAAGGTGATCAACTTGGCTTCATTGAAGGTCCCAGGGAGGTTCCTGGCCAGGAAAGCCACAATGAAACAGATGGTGGCCAGGAAGCCCATGTAACCAAGAGCAACATAAAACATGGCAAGGGAGCCTTCGTTGCACTGCAGGACAATCTCTCCTGACTGGGAGTGCATATCAGAATCAGGAAAGGGAGGAGAGACCACCAGCCAGATGCTGCAGATGACTGCCTGAATACTGGAAGAACAAAGGATGATGGTGTTAGTCAAACTCCTTCCCAGCCATTTTCTCACTCTGTTTCCTGGCTTTGTAGCCAGGAAGGCCAGCACCACCGTGATTGTTTTGGCCAAGACAGAAGAAACAGCAACTGAGAAAATGATGCTGAAGGCTGTTTGTTGGAAAAGGCAGGTGACTCTCCTTGGGCATCCAATGAAGAGGAAGGTTGTTAAGAAAGAAAGCAGGAGTGAGATGAGAAGAATGAAGGAAAGGTTCCGATTATTGGCTTTGACAATGGGAGTGTCTGTGTATATAATGAAGATTGTTAACACTAAGGCAGTAATTAAAGACAAGGAGACTGCAAGTGAAACCACAATGATTCCCAAATCTTCTTGATAGGAGAGAAAGGTTATTTCTTTAGGGACACATTGATCTTGCTCCTTATTTGGATGCTGATCTTCTGGACATTTGGTGCAATAATCTGCATCTAAAGAGAGGGACATTTTTACTGTTTTCTGTTTTATTTTTTTCCCTACCAGTTACAAGAAAACCTTATAGGGTAGTTACCCTATAAGTAGGGTAAGTAGCCTAAGTAGAATAAAAAGAATAATCAAATTATTATATAGTTTGGAATAATTGGTACCAATGGATAGACAGCAAAATGTGAAAGATATAGGTTAAAAAGAGAAAAAAATATTTTGATCAATGAGAATTTGTTGAAATGGACGGACATTTGGAAAGTGTAACTACTGCTAAGATTTTGTACTGTCAAGAAAATGATGGTGAAACGTATCAACATACTTTTCTTTTATAGATATATTTGTATATACAGTATTTTAATATGTTTAATATTTATATTGACTGTTTCCTAGTATGATTTGATTGCTTATTGTACCCTATGACTATCATTAAGTGTTGCACCTTATGATTCTTGACTCTTGATGAATGTATCTTTTCTTTTATGTATACTGAGAACATTTACACCAAGACAAATTCCTTGTGTGTCCAATCACACTTGGCCAATACAGAATTCTATTCTATTCTATTCTATTCTATTCTATTCTATTCTATTCTAT